TGTCCCTTGTCTTACCAACAAGAGGGTCTGTGACTCCTTGAACTAGTGCAAGATGTGAAATTTGATTGCACTTGTCCTTGCCAAAATGATATGAGTGAAGAATGTTGGCGGAGTCACCCTCAAGAACTCTCTAGTTCTTCTTCTTCGGTATCCACACCATGTTGATGGGAATCCCTGGAGTTGTAGTCGTACTTGATGAAGTAGAGCTTGACGTAGTCTTGGGAATCCACTTGACCAAGGCCTTGGGAGCTTCTTCAAATGCATCAATCTCCTCTTGAAGCTCATCCTTGCCTTTTTGCTTGTGGTCTTGTGGTGGAAGATCATCTTGAGCTTGTGTCCCTTTGAATGAAGTAGGATCATACTTCTCTTGTTGAGGAACAAACTTTGCCTTGGGGTATTGATCTTCTTCCCACTCAACTCCATTGGCATTGAACTTTCGTTCAAAACCAACACCTTGGTTCTTCCGGTGCCTTCCTTGTTGCGTACAATTTCCTCGAATTGCTTACTCCTGGCAAGGCTCTTGTAAACTCCTTTCTCTATGATTCCCTTCAATAAACTATTTTCTTGCTCAAGTGTAACTTGGCTAAGAGAATCATTAGTGGAATCAAGAGAACTACTAGAAGCAACAATATTGGATTTAGCATGATGATTGTTACTACTAGAGGAAGAATCCTTCTTGTTTTTGTTACTAGACTTGACTTGAGGCATGTAAGTAGATAAGAGTAAACGCTTGGCAATGTAAGAAGAACTTTTCTTGCGAAGATCATCATTGATTGCCTTTAAGAACTCATGCTCTTGCTCAAGGTTGAGCTTTTCAAAGCGTAACTTCTCATGAGTCCTTAAAAGTTCTCGATGATCCCCTAAGATAGTTTCATGAGCTAACTTGAGAGTGTTTAGTTCTTTAGTTAGGAGCTCAATCTTCTCCTTATCATCATCATTCGTTTTATCTTGATTAGAATGATTAATTGACGTTTCATCATAGTATTCATCACTAAAGTTGCCAATAAGTAAATCATCATCACCTAGCAAGTCATCTTCATCACTATTGAAATCAACATACTCGGGGTGTGTTACCTTTGGGCCTTTAGCCATGAAGCATCTTCCAAGTCCTTCATTTGGTGAATCAAATATGTCGTGGGAGTTGGTTGACACAAGTGCTAGACCGGCAACACCTTCATCTTGAGTATGTTCGGAGTCGGAGTGATAGCTTCTCTCGGAGTGATGTTCAGAGTCGGAACCGGATACCCATTCACCAACATGAGCTTGATGTCTTCGTTTTGTGTAGCTCCTTGATGACTTGTCCTTCCTTTCCGAATCCTTGCTTCTCCGGGATGTTCTTCGTTCATAACGATCATCTCTACTCCTTCTCTCTCTTGGCGGCGATTCTTCTCTTCTACTTCTCCTCTTAGGTGAATCTTCTCTTCTTTTGTAGGGAGCCGTACACTCATTGGAATAGTGTCCGGGTCTTCCACAGTTGTAGCAATTTCGCTCTCGACTGGAAGATCTTTTGTCATTGTAGGACCTTGACTTGGAACTTCTTTCCTTGCTTCTACTCTTGTAGAATTTGTTGAAGTTCTTCACCATTAGGCTCAATTCTTCATTGAAGGTTTGTTTCTCACTTGATGATGTGGGAGCTTCACATGAGGCTTTGTAAGCACCACTTGACTTGTTGTGCAGCTCCTCCTTATCCTTGAGTGACATCTCATGAGCAACAATTCTTCCGATGACCTCCGTTGGCTTGAGATTCTTGTAGTTGGGCATCATTTGGATCAATGTGCACACGGTATCATATTTTCCATCCAAGGCTCTTAGGATCTTCTTGATGATGAATTTGTCGGTCATCTCTTCACTTCCTAAGCCAGCAATCTCATTTGTGATGAGAGCAAGCCTAGAGTACATTTCAGCGACGCCTTCACCATCCTTCATCTTGAACTTGTCAAGTTAACTTTGAAGCACATTCAATTTGGATTCCTTGACGGAGTCGATACCTTCGTGCATATCAATCAAAGTGTCCCAAATTTCCTTTGCATTCTCAAGACGGCTAGTTTTGTTGAATTCTTCGGGGCATAATCCGTTGAAGAGGATATCACAAGCTTGAGCGTTGTATTGTAGCATCTTCAACTCTTCCGCGCTAGCTTCACGGTTTGGTTCTCTCCCATCAAAGAATTCACCTTGCAAGCCAATACACACAATAGCCCAAACGGCGGGGTTATGTCCGAGAATATGCATTTTCATCTTATGCTTCCAACTAGCAAAATTAGTACCATCAAAGTAAGGACCTCTACGGTGGTAGTTTCCCTCGCTAGACGCCATACTCTCCTAGGTTGTGAAACCAAGGCTATTACCACCAAAAGCTATGGAAATCAATGCAAATGGAGACCAAAGATCTGATACCACTTGTGGGATCTTGAAGTATGTCTAGAGGGGGGTGATTAGACTACTTGACCAAATAAAAACTTAACCTTTTCCCAATTTTAGTCTTTGGCAGATTTTAGCAAACTTAGCACAAGTCAAGCAATCTTAACACAATTCAAGCAAGCATGAAAAGAGTACATGAGCAGCGGAAAATAAAGCATGCAACTTGCAAGAATGTAAAGGGAAGGGTTTGGAGATTTCAAACGCAATTTGGAGACACGGTGATTTTTGAGCCGTGGTTCCGATAGGTGGTGCTATCGTACATCCACGTTGATGGAGACTTCAACCCACGAAGGGTAACGGTTGCGCGAGTCCACGGAGGGCTCCACCCAAGAAGGGTCCACGAAGAAGCAACCTTGTCTATCCCACCATGGCCATTGCCCACGAAGGACTTGCCTCACTAGCGGTAGATCTTCACAAAGTAGGTGATCTCCTTGCCCTTACAAACTCCTTGGTTCAACTCCACAATCTTTTCGGAGGCTCCCAAGTGACACCTAGCCAATCTAGGAGACACCACTCTCCAAGAAGTAACAAATGGTGTGTTGATGATGAACTCCTTGTTCGTGTGCTTCAAATGATAGTCTCCCCAACACTTAACTCTCTCTCATAGGATTTGGATTTGGTGGAAAGAAGATTTGAGTGGAAAGCAACTTGGGGAAGGCTAGAGATCAAGATTCATATGGTAGGAATGGAATATCTTAGTCTCAACAGAGTAGGTGGTTCTCTCTCAAAAATGGTAAGTTGGAAGTGTAGGTTTGTTCTGATGACTCTCTCCACAAATGAAGAGGAGGTGGAGGGGTATATATAGCCTCCACACAAAATCTAACCATTACACACAATTTACCAATCTCGGTGGGACCGAATCAACAAACTCGGTCAGACCGATTTAGTAAACCTAGTGACCGTTAGGGTTTTCGGTGGGACCGACATGCAACTCGGTAGGACCGATATGGTTAGGGTTTGGGCATAACGTAATCTCGGTGAGACCGATTACGCAAACTCGGTGAGACCGATTTTGGTAATAAGCTAACCAGAGAGTTGGTCAGGTAAACTCGGTGGGATCGGTTCGCTCTTTTCGGTGAGACCGAAATGTTACGAAGGGGAAACAGAGAGTTTACATTGCAATCTCGATGGGACCGATCGCTCATCTCGGTGAGACCAAAACGTTACGAAGGGAAACAGAGAGATTACAATCCCATCTCGGTGAGACCGAGATCCCTATCGGTGAGACCGATTTACCTAGGGTTTGTGGCAGTGGCTATGCCATCTAAACTTGGTGGCGCCGAATAGACAGAATTGGTGGGGCCGAGTTGGACTTTAGGTTTAGGTCATATGTGGATGTGGGAAAGTAGTTGAGGGTTTTGGAGCATATCACTAAGCAATATGAAGCAAGAACCTCATTAAGCAACACCTCATCCCTCCTTGATAGTATTGGCTTTTCCTATAGACTCAATGTGATCTTGGATCACTAAAATATAAAATGTAGAGTCTCGAGCTTGAAGCTTGAGCCAATCCTTTTATCCTTAGCATTTTAAGGGATCCATTTTTCTCATCCATGCCATGCCATTCATTGAGCTTTCCTGAAATGTTTGTCTTGGAATAGTATTAGCTCAATGAGCTATATGTTGTTAGGAATTACTAAAACCACCTAGGGATAGTTGTACTTTCATGAGTCAAAACCAGTGATGGTTTTCTCGTTGCTCATCCGCTTTGCCATGAAATACACCGGGACATGCTTCTTGAAAATGGCCCGAACTAGATTCCAGCTTCGCTTTCGAGGATGAACCTGGTCTCTAAAGTTGAAACAAACAGAGCCTAGTTACTCACTCTGGTCTCTAAAGCTGAAACAAACAGAGCCTAGTTGCCGTTTACATTTAAATATTCAAAACATCTTATACTCTATATTTGTGAACAGAGGGAAGTATTACTACTAGTAGTAATATTGATCCTTTGAAAACATTTGTTTTCTTCGAGTGCACGTCAATGATGTACCATATTTTTATAGAAGAAATAACGTTATTTACAAGAACCTGTGTGCGATGCAAACATCAACACAAGTGAGCCACAACACCTACACCAACACCTAAGCCTAAGCCTACTCTCTCACAAAACGGTCCAGCCTCCTTTCATTCTTTGATCTCGTTCATGATGTGTGTGGTTCGCCAACCGTTTTCTGTTGGCTTGTCCGATTGAACATCCAAGCATCTCTTTGTTTTCAAAGCAACCAAGCTACCGCAATAACAGACGTGTCAAAACCTCTCTTTTCCCGGTTGTGTACTCCCTCCGTCCTAAATTATAAAAACATTTTTGATACTATGTTCTTATATTTTGGGACGGAGGGAGTAGCTTCTTCTAGCTTGTAGCCATCAATCCAGCAAGTTATCTTTGCACTTGTGGATGAAACAACTCCATCCTTTGAAGCTCTGAATACTGCCACTCGAGTGACACGCGTCAACCCAGTCAAGGTCAAGCACTTTGACTTGGTTCGCCGTCACCTGCCCCCTGCTCCCCGGACGAACTCCACCGAAGAAAAAAAAATCGGCACAGGAGCAAATCCCTAGGCCACTCTCCCCTGCTCCGCGTCCATGGCGACGGACGCCTCCCCCCCTCCGCCGCGCAAGAGCCCGGGGCCTCAGCCGGCGGCGGACCCCCCTGAAGGCGCCTCGCCGCTGCCGGCCGGGTACATCTTCATGTGCAGCGGCGAGACCAGGCCCGAGTGCTTCAGGTACAGGGTGCTGGGCCTGCCGCGCGGGAGGCTGGACGCCGTCTCCCGGATCAGGCGCGGCGCCGCGCTCTTCCTCTACGACTTCCACGCCAAGCACCTCTACGGGCCCTACCGCGCCGACTCCGACGGTGGCCTCGCCCTCGAGCCCGCCGCCTTCCAGGGCCGCTACCCTGCCCAGGTACCGTCCCCATCCCCATCACCTCGCGATTAATGCTCATAAGGTCTGGAGTTCGGTAGATTAGATATGTGGGCGGAGTATGCTGGGAATCATGGTTGATTGTGCGAATCTTTCCACCATAAAGAAAGAATGGAGCTTGATGATTTGCCGCTCGATGTGTCAATGGAATGTGGATCCTGGTGCCACATTTCAGTGGCAAATCACCAGATTCCCTTTGTTAGCGCAGTTTTATGGTTTCCAGAAAGATACATGGTGGCTTTCCTGCTGTGTGATACAAGTAAGAGACAAGATATTAAAGAAAGAGAAGACTTTTCACTCTTCACCAAGTAATTAAGCTACTATCACAAGTTTATGATACGATGATTGATGAAAAGTTGGGAGTCAACTCAAGGACTGATGCTTGTAGCATACAGGGAGAACCTGAAATGCATTGGTTAGAACAGCAATGTTTCATTCTCCAGCCATACAAGCATTTTGGCCGCCCACTGTCGGCCCCTCTTAATCAGTCGTAAACTAATTTTGTTAATTTACTACCGGCTTTGGCAATGAACTTTGCCGCACTTCCTTTTACGCATGATTAAAACTCATTTCCAGTGCTATTAATGATACGTATTTTGTAAGTCTGTTATCTCCCAAAGGAGTCCTGACTATTTTAATTTTCTGAAATTTCGATTCATCTTGGCTCATAATATGCTCTTTAGTTTCCAATGACATCCAGTAATCAACTTTATAGATTTGCTATACATTATTTTTGTTATTCATAAACTGAGTTTTCAGTGTTCTTATACGTGCAGGTCAAATTTGTGGTTGATGGTGATTTCATGCCTATCCCAGAGAGTAGCATAAGAAGTGCCATAAGAGAGAATTATTCCCGTGGGAAATTTTGGCCTGAACTTACCTTTACGCAAGTAAGTGGGAACCAGTGTTTATTTATGTTTTGTATACTTGAGGAGAGTTGAAATGAACTGTGCTGAATCTTTCTTGTATATTTGTAACTCCTGTACAAAGAGGTTCTAACTTCAGGCACTCTGCCAGATGAACCTCGTTCTCTCTTATGTATGCTCTCTTGCATACATCAAAGTATCAAATTAGTCAAATCGTCTTGCTGTGCCTAGTTTGAACTTTGAACAGTAGTTTCCACCCTTACTTCAGTACTTGCTGTTGTGGTGTAAACACATGTAGAAGCAAGTCGAGATTGAGAGGGATTATTATGTAATCTGTATTCCCTATGGTTTAACTTTGAGAACTGAACTTATCTTTTGTAATGCGTTTATCCTCCCATCTTTCTGTTATGTCTTAATTTTATCCTCCATCTTTCTGTTCTGTCTTAATTTTATCAGTGCTTAGCTGTGAACTATATCATGCATTTACCTGCACTGAATTTTCATTGTTATTGGTAATTCTGTTGTAGGTTGAGAAACTGAGAGCATTGTTCCATCCAATTACTTCACTGCCAGTGCCAGAGGCACCACCCCTGCATTATGTTGACAACAGGCATCCCGCTCAATCTGCTGCTTTTCTGCCTCCTTCAGCTTCATACCCAACACAGCCAACTTCTTATGTGTATCACCCAAGCACTTATGTTCCTACTCCAGCTGCTCATCTGGTGCCAAATCAACCATACCCACGCCCAGATTCTCACCTTCCAGTGGCTGCTCAATACACCACACCTGCTTACTATGCAACCCCAACCGCGTATCCGTATCAAGCAGGTTATCAAGCATATGGTCCACCTCCTGCCACCTACCACTACGCCCAAGCGCCTCCTTTGCAATATCACTATGTGCAAGCCCAACACCCTGTGCCAGAACATGTTACAGACCCTGCCTATTCCTCTGATCCCTACTATACTGCTAATCGGAATGATCCACATCGATTTGATGCTGTGAAATCTCATTACCAGGAAACTACAGGGAGGTATGTATGTATGCTAATCGGAATGATCCATATAGATACATACTTTGCGTGTTGGAACTGACCATTTATTCATGTGTTTTTCCTTGTGGCTACATGCACAAATGATTGATGGATTTGCACTTTTGCCTCGTACATTCTTGTGTTTCAGAGCTGCCTATGGTGCACCACTACATGAAGCAGCCGCGACGAACCTGCAACTCGTCAGGCACTATGGGTACGCTCCAGGCAGCGAGGGTGCAGCCGGAGGAACCCCACAGCCCAGTGCTGAAGGAGCAGCTCCGGCGACCGACGATGACTCCTGGCCGCCCGCCCCAGCGACCGACGATGACTCCTGGCCGCCCGCCCCAGCGACCGACGATGACTCCTGGCCGCCCGCCCCAGCGACCACACAGGCTGCGCCATCGGTGCATGGCGTCGCAGCTGCACCAGCTTACCTGTGACCATTCAGTTCATTTCGCCAACATGACTGACCTGAATCAAGGGTGCTGCTTGCTCTGTGCTGGTGTGCTTTGCCATTCTTTCTACCAAGGGACTGTGATTTCAGATCGGTGAAAGATGGCATCGCTCTCGTTTCTGCTGATGTGTTTGGTGTGATGTATAGGTGGATTCAGCTGTTGCTCTATAGTTTGTTAGACTGGTGGTACTATATTGATCCCTATCCCTACAAACCGCCAAAATGGTGGAAAACCCCACTCTAGCAGGTTAAAAATACACCATTGACCGTTTTGCGCAAGTTGTTGAGATGGGCCGTTGTGGTGTCATTGTGTATGTGGGTGATTTTTGAAAAAAATTGAATCATTTTTGAAAGTTCAGCCAAAAGATAAACTTCTTCTGAAATTTTAACTGAATCTAACTCTTTTGCTCAAAGTGGGCGAGATGAAGTTTCCAGTACAAGATTTTCACCCCTTTTTTTTTATCAAATCGAGATAGCAATCATAATCCAACTCCCAAAGAGATGTTTTTCTTTCTCGAGGTTGGAGATAATCTGGAGATATGATGATAAATCACCAAGGATTATTAGAAGTGTCATCTTGCCTGGTTAAGATGTTCATCATGATAACTCACATGAGAGTCTTGCATATTTAATATTTGATCTTGTTTCCAATGATGAAATTAGGGTGTGCTTGGTAGGGTGCATGAGCTCAAAAGTTCCCTACAAAACTCATTTTTGACTGTTTGGTAGGGTGTATGGGCCAACCTCAACTATGCCCATCTCATGCAAAAAGGACTCTCAGCCATGCTGAGTTGAGCACGCCTAAATAGGGTGCATGGAGGCAGCCATGCTCGCCCTGACATTTAAAAAATGTTTTGAATTTCACATTCTGTTTGAATTCTATTTTTTTCAGAATTACCAATTTTGTTTAGAATCTCAAAAGATGTTCATGATTTCATATTTTGATTAAATTCACAAAAATTGTTTATTTTAAAATGTCCAGATTTTAAAAAAATGTTTAAATTTTCGGAAAATGTTCAGAATTTCAATATTTTTGTATTTTATAATGTTCAGAATTTGAAAGCTTGTTTATTTTTTTTAAAAATGGAATTCCAAATTTTGTTTAAATTTTAAAAAACAGAATTCCAAAATGTGTTTAAATTTTTGTTCACGTTTTTCAAAAAAAATCACCATTCAAGAAAAGTATTTGGAATTCGAAATTATTTGTCATTTCTAAATACATGCAAGTTGCCAAACGAAGTCTCAACATGTCTCAGCACATGCACCGCTATCAAACAATAGAAAATGCATGTGCTTAACATGTTTAGAGTTAGGATGTGTCAAAGGATGTTTAGAGTTAGGATGTCTCGAAGGGAAGCGAACAATGCTATGGGGAAGAAGGAAAGCTAAAATTACAGTTGCAGCGTGTTTGGCAGTCCGTGGGAAAAGGCATGGGAATTTTTAAGTTGGAGTTAGCTGAGAGATTAGACATGGGAAGTGGACTATTAGTCCTAATCCCTCGTTTGGTTTGGGGTGGGAGTTAGTCGTGGGAATCTTGTTTCCGCAGCTTGCGGGATGGGAGCAACGAACATGGCGATTGGTTTTTTCTCTCTCATTTCCCATTCCCTCCAATTACCAGAGCCCCGTGGGAAGAGATAGTGGGAGTTTGACGGGCAACTCCCTTTCCCCGTCCATCATCAATTCCCCTGTCCTCCAATCAAACAAGGGAATTTAAATCCCATGCCCTCCTAATTTCCATTCCCTGATACTACTTCCCCCGAAACAAACAGGCTGTTGGCGTAAAAGTTGTTCAGTCAGGAAGGTGTTGACACAGCGAGAGGTTACTAATCATCAGCTTATAACAACGGCCGTTCGATCCTCTGCGCCGGTCGATCTGAACGGCGGAGGAGGCGCCCGCCGCGAGCCCCGCAACCCCATTGGCAATGGCGCTGCCGGCGCAGGTCGCCGCCTCGCGTCTCCTCCTCCCTCCCTCGCGCCGGCTCACGTCGGCTCCGAGTCCGGCGCCTCCTCTCCTCCGCTCTGGCCCTGGCCCCGGCTCCTGCCGGTGGACGCGGCGGGCGAGCGTGCGGGTCCGCGCGGGCGCCGGCGGCGGAGGCGGGCGAAGGAGGGAGTCCCCGCACGAGGTGCTCGGCGTGGCGCCGTCGGCGTCGCCCGCGGAGATCAAGCGCGCGTACCGGCGCCTCGCGCTCAAGTACCACCCGGACGTCAACAAGGAGGTGCGGTGCTCCCCTCCTATTCCCATCCAAGCAGCAGGATTCAGCGACGGAACAAGCTTCAGTACTGCTACACCAATGGAGATTTTGCTGACCAACCTCCTGGTTCAATGCAGGCGGATGCTCAGGCGAAGTTCCTGAGGATCAAGCACGCCTACAACACGCTGATGAACTCGGAGATCCGATCCAAGCACGCCGAGGCAGAAGAGGAGTTCGATTGGCTCGGTACTGACATCTCATCTCATCTCTGCTCTTCTCTTCTCTTCTGCTCCAGCAAACTACATTTCATTCTAGCCAATTTCATGGGCATCACATTGCAGTTTTCTGCCAAGAAACCACTGCTCGTAGATTTAAGGTTCCATTGCAGATTTCCTTCGTCGAATCTGCCGGTAGATAAGATGCTTATTCGGACACAAATAGGCGCGGTTGATCGAAAAATTGTTCATTTTGCTGACACAGCTCCCGTTCTCCTTTTTGTAGCGGCTATCATTGAAAGCATGGAAGCATTTCAGTTTCAGGACTCGGATGATGAGCTGGATTTCGACTGGAGACCTGAAGGCCTGTGGGAACATGTGTTTGCGTATTCTCTAATTATATCCATGCTTATCTACGTTCTCATATAATGCACTTAGTGATGTTTGTTATATATATACTTGGATGTTCTCACACTTCTAAGGATGTGTGCATTTGCGTCTCGAAAGCAAATCTTAAAAAATGCACACAAATTGGGGGAGCTCGATTTGTATGGCAATCATCTCGTTTTGATACATTGTTTTCGTAATTATCTCGTGCTATAAGCCATCGATCATCGAAAGGCGGAGATTGAAAGTGGACCTCCGTTACCCTAGTTGGAAGTGAAATTCACCTACAGTCACTAGACTCATCCCCAGAATTGAGACCGGTCACTGGACTTATGAATACCGGGTTATGGTCGTGAACGTTGCATCAGTGAACAGAGACGGTCACCGTGTATGGTTTGACCACTTAACCAGCAACG